CGAGATGAAACGCACTGGAAATGTAAAGCTTGTTTTTCAGAGAACTGTTTCTCCCTAATCAGCTACTGTGTCTTTGCAGACCTTACTGAAAATCCACTAGCTGTCTCTGCAGAAGCTCCAAGTCAACTGATACGGTTCCAGCCTGGGAACAATGCAGGGCCCTGCCTTCCTTACTGGAGACAAGGAGCCCATCCAGTATGTACCAGCTCTCAGAGCAAGCCCATAGACCCTCCTCCTTGTCCCGAGATAACCGCTTAGCGCTTAATGGCAGGGGCAGAATTTTGTCTTCTTCAGATATTAAGTGCCTGCCCCAAAGTGAACATGGTATGTTTGTTACATTTATGTTTGCTCAGTGCGCATGTGCCACCTGTTTTCGTGAATACTCATTAAGTTTCCCAGCCCTTTCCATTAAGATGTATATAATCTCAACTCCTATGATTGTAAACAAACTTGTTCTCTCCCCCTTCAAAGAGGTGGATTGGAGGCTTGCCGTCCTGTCCACTCATTTGGCTGCCTCTCTAATAAACCTTTTCCTTGCTGCATACTCGATGTCTCAATGATCAGCTTTGCTGCACGGCGGGCAAACGAACTTGGGTTTGCATACAGCTGGTTTGGGGACCAGGCATTAGGCAGTCTGAATGTCCTCAAGGAAGCCATTAGTGAAGGCGGGAAGGACAACGAGGAAGTTATTAGTAGATGCTATAAAAGGTGACCCATATTATGTAGTGGTGACAAGTTTGGCAGGACCATTGCCTGTGGCGAGAAGAAAGACAAAAAAGGACATCTAATGGATTTGTGGACCTGGCTAAGGTTTCCAGGTAGAAGGATGAAGATGCCACTGGCTTCTCTTAGCTGCCTACGATAAAATACAAGAGGAGAGAAGCGGACTGGGGAAGGAAATGTTCAGCTTTTTAGCACAATCCAGAAGAGACAAAGACAGTCTTTCCAATCAGCAAAAGGTTCTCCAAGTAAGAAAGGACCTCAGAGCAAAGATCAAACACAAACACATACCCTCCAGTAAAAGTCAGATGAAGACGGTGACTGTTAGACCCTCTGCTGAAATCTCAGATTTAATTCAGAATCTCCTAGACTCACTCAGCTGACCAAAAGTTTTCTAAGAATCTTAAAGGCAACTTCATAGATCCTCCCAGCTAAGCAGCAGGGCTTCAAAGAATCTTCGGTGTTGTCCCCAAGCATGATGACTCACAGCCCAAGGGTGGGAGGAGCCTACCTCAAAGATATTTATGGGGATGACTTTTGTCTAACAAAGCCCATTATCATTTGATACACCAGAAACAACATTTTAAAAAGAATCATAGCAGTTCTCACTAAAAGGAATAGCGATGGTTCAGAATGAAAATGGGCCTCTGGGCCCCTAACCTCCAGCAGGCTAAGAAAACATGGGTTATTTATCATGGAAAAGAAAGAACAACCCAGAAAACGGAGCCAAGATCCCAAAGGATAGAGCCAAGAACAGAGAGGAACCACTTCTAGGGAGCAAAAGTAGGCCCTAATGAAACACACTCCCTGCCTCTACAATGTGAGGGGTAAGCCGTGCCTGCCTGACTGTACTTGGAATGGCTTTGAATCAGTGACTTCTAAATGCCCCCAGTTTTTCCTCCCCCTAATGGGAGTCCCTACTGTGGCTATCCTGTCCCTATCTCGCCATTGCCTGACAGGTGTATGGTGGACATAAAAACACAAGTCTTCAGGCTGAGGTAAACCACAATGGGAACCATGTCCCAAGAGCCTTGTGCATACTTGGATCTGATCCAAATCTTGAGATCTTGAACTTCAAGCTGATGTCATAATGGGATGAAACTTTGAGGGATTTGGGGAGGAGTGAGCACTCATTCTTCAGCAGGGGAGACATGAATTGTTGTGGCCAGCAAGGGCACCGTGGGACCAATAATTCTTTCCTCTCTGTATGTGAAATCATCAAGAGATGGAGCCCGATTCCCCTTCCCCTGAATCAGAGCTGGCCCTGTGACAGGTTTGGTCAATAGAATATGGTGGAAGTGACCTTCTGAAGTCAGGCCTAAAGGGGACTGGCAGCTTCTGCCTCCTTCCTTCATTCTTCCTGGAATGCCCTGAAAAACCTGCCACCGGGCTGTGAGGAAGTCCAAGCAGCCACATGAGAGAGGCTCACATGGAGGAGAACCAAGTCCCTGTATGCCACTTATCAATTTATTGTCTCTCAGCTCCAGCTTTAGATCCAGCATCGCCTGCTCTGTGAAAATTTAGAGGGGCCCTTTAAATATTTTTTTGTCTGCTGACCCAATACTGAGTTTTGTCAGTAGAGGGTGCGGGAGAGATCTTGCAGAAGGAAGGGGTTTTCCTTTCTGGTTCCGGCTTCCTCCTCTTGGCAGGTTCCTGTAGCACCACGGTTCTCCAGCACTCAGCTCTTGCGGCGTGGTAGCTTCACTACCACAGTGCATAGTGATCAGCCCCATCCTGTAGCCAGCAGCCTCTAGCATCCTCCTTGGGTGGCTTTGAAGTGGAGACGTGTCTTCACAAGCAGCTTTCCCTAGCAACATAGAGGACAGAATTCCAGCAAGTTCAAAAGGGTGGATTTCCAGCCAGTTCTGCCAGTATAGCCCCGCTATGTACTATGAGTCTTCAACAAGATCTGGACCTCGGCCACAGGGCGTCCCCTTCCATGGATGTGCTCTCTCAGGCTTAAGGGTAGGGGCTGCCCCTTCTATCTGCAGCTCCTGTATGCTTTAGATTTCTCGCTTTTTCCTAGTCAATCTCTCATTACTCTAATTCCCTGTTATAGTTAATAATTCTTTATATTAAACTTCATCTGTTCACATTATTGTCTCCTGATTAGACCCTGACTGGTACGCCCCGATCAGCCGCTCTAGCTGGGTTCCCAGCCATGTGAAACGAGACTGTTTTGGACCTCACAGACATCCTAGCACCCCAAACAACATCACATAAAGTAGAGGAACTTCCCCTTAGCCCACAGAATCATAAGGAATGGGAAAATAGGTTTCCCTGCTATCTGAACACAGGGCGTTCCTATGAAACATTTCATAAGCTGATATGACATTAAGGAAGAAGTGTTTACCATTAATTTATATGGAAAAATTTTGTGAGCATCCCAGACTCAAAAATATAGCCCCTCTTAGGCTTTTCTGCTACCTTAGGACACATCTTGCTAAGAGCGCACAAAATAAATCAAGATAAAGCACAGATGCTCATAGACACAGTTCAAAAAGCCGTGGCAGCTTGATGTTGAGATGCTGAGTGTAGTTCCCAGGGAAGAAGCTTGGGGGCGCCACTCTCACAGCTGGGCTGTGCGCTGCCTCTGTAACAGAGGGCTGCAAAACAGATGCTGAATGCTATATTTGCTTTTCACCTCTTTTTGTAAAAGGGAAAATCCGCTTTGGATTTCTTTCAATCAGTGAAAACAGGTAATATGGTCTATGTCTTTTGTAAAAGTGAAGAGTTGGAACGACAGTTTCAAAAAGCAGAGGATACCTGTATTGTTTTAAGCCTCTAAATTTTGGAGTGGTTTGTTACAAGCAATAAATATCTCACTACAACCCAGTAGGTGTTGTTATTCCATTTACAGATGAAAAAGCTAAAGCTGAGTGAGGATTAGTGACTTGCCCCATTACAGAGGAAGTAAATGGCTGAACCAGCATTCAAACATAGGTTTGTATTAACAACACCCTTTTAAATACGTAATCTCATTTAGGGAGCCAGAAGGGACCTTAGGAATATTATCCAACCTCCTTCACTCTATAGCCGAAGAAACTGAAGCTCAGACCGTGGAAGGAGTTTGCCTTAAGTCACACATCTGGGAAATGGCAGGGTCAGGACTCTGAATTAGAAGTCTACTCCCGACTTTAAGCCCAATGCCCTTCCTCTCCCCCCAGTTGCTTGTCTCACACTCCTTCCTTCCATTCTCATCTTCATACGTTTCCTCATGCTCCTTCCTCTCCAGGAATGCCCTTGGGGGACAAAATCATCCTGGTCCAGAATGCCTACAGCATATTTGGTCTTTTCTAGAGATATGTTTTGTTGTCACAATTGGGGGGGCGGTGCCCTTGGCATCTGGTGGGCAGAGGCCCGTGATGCAGCTAAGCATCCTGCAACGCACAGGACAGCCCCCAACAAAGAATGCTCCAGCCCAAAATGTCAATACAGTTGAAGCTGAGACACCTTGGTCTAGAGAAATCCATGACCCCACAAGATCCCCTGCATCCATAGGTTCTTTTTTATTTTCTCAAGGCTGAGGTTGCTCAAGGCCAGAGGGGCAGCACCCACTGAAGTGGTCGTAACTCAGTGCATGGGGAGGTTCCTGAGGAAATCTCTGGCAGGGAGCTCCTGTCACAGGACATCCCCGGCATTTTCAAGACTCTGAGTCACCAGGTTTGATAAGCTACAATTAGTTTATTGGAAACACAGAGTGAAACAAAGGCAAAGAAACAGACTGGCAGCGGAGACATGGGCTTTGTCGAAGCCTCTGCCGGCAGCCCTGGAAAGAGGTGCTCTTCCCTCCCATGGCTCATGGCCCTCACAGAGTTTCAGGAAAGCCACCATCAGCGTTCCCCACCTCCATTCCACAGGTTCAGGCACACTGGCGGGTTACCAGGAAGTGCAGACAGCGGGATTCTGGGGCCCGCCCTGTCCCTGAAAGCCTGGGTGAAGGGGTCAGGCAGGACACGTGAATCCAGCGGGAAAAAACCAGAAGGCAGAAGAAAGGATGAATCCTGAAGACAGCAAAGCCACTACTAGGAAAGGCTACGGAGAGAGGCCAAGGTGCCACCCCAACCTCTCCAGGGCTCAGGGCGCCCAGGGCGGATGGCACACGGGGGGAGCGGGTAGGGAGGTCGCGCAGAGTGCGCACATCTGGCCACCGACTGTCGGGGTGGGGTGGGGGGGCCGGCGGCTGGCGGTCGTGGGGCGGCGTTGGCGGGGCGCTCGGGATGCGGGAGGTCCTGGCCGGAGGGTGACGGGGATGCGCGCTGGCAGCGGCCGGCGGCCCCCTAGCACTTCTGACAGCTCCGGCTGCTGGCCGGGGCGCAAGAGCTGGTGCCCACCACCATGTTGCCGCTACAGGGGGCGCTGCAGACTCTGTTGGTGACAGCAGGGGCAGCACCGGAGGCGCAGAGATCACCACAGACGACGCCCCCGCGGGAGCTGCTGACGCCTGAATGGGGGACAGAACACATCAGGCGCGGCCACAGCGGGCGGCTGGGGGGGCGGGGGCTCAGCGAAACCGGCCCTCCCCCAGGACGTGCCCCCGCCCCCAGCTGGAGAAGGGGGAGGCTCGCACTACTTACACACATTCACGGCGCCGACGCCCTCACTCAGCCTGTTGGGAAAGGAAAAGAGACAGAGGTCGGTGCCGCAGGCCAGCCTCCGGGCCCCCGCGGCCAAGGCGAAAGCGAGGACTGTGCCCTCCTCCTGGACACTCGCTGAGGGGAAGGGGCGGGAAATGGGCCCATCTGGGAGCCGTAGCCCAGCCCCCACGTGGGCTCTGGAGACAGAAGGCACGATGTGTCTGGTAGCCCTCCTTAGCCCTGCAACCTCAGATTTGCCCTGCCTCCCTTGGCCTCCCTCCTCCTGGGAATATCTTAACTAGATCCCCTGGGAGCGTGGAATCCATGGCCCATGTAGGTGCTTAGTGCCTGCCACATGGCTCACAGTTCACACATGCTGGTTTCCATCTACTTGTAAACACATTTCAGGGGCCGCAGATTTGACTTCCTAAATCTGGCCTGATTGGTGGTCTCTGGAACCTGGGCTTCAGGAAGGCAGACGTTTCCGTCTTGTCTTTTCCCCACTGCAGAGTGGACAGTGCCTACAACAATGTTTGGCTCCGTAAATTACTGTTGGCGAAATTGAATGGGATTTTAGAACCCATTTAGAACAGGTTCAGAGACTGTCTACACAAGTTCCCTCATTTGACAAATGGAGACACTGAGGCCCAGAGAGAGGAAATAACCAGTGATAGAGGCAGGGCTACGATTCAGGGCCCCTAACTCCACGCAGCCCTCATCTCCTTCCCACACAACACATTTCCTTAAGGGAAACAAATGGGAGTCCCTCTGATAGCACCGTGGCAAAGGGTTGACAACATCAGCTTCAGACATGAGGAGAATCCGCAGCCCACCACGTACTCAGCCCATGCCCAGGGTTCACAGGGAACCCACACCAAAGCTTCTGAGCTCACCCCAGGGGCCCAATGCGGCAGAGGGATGGGCTGCTCAGTTTCCAGTGCTATCTCCAGGCTTCTCTTGAACTTCCAAACTCAGTCTTGAAAGATTCTTCGTTCTGGAAGTCTCCACTAATGAAACTCCCCAGGCCCAGTGAGCCACGGGGCCTCTGAGCTCTCCAAAGCAATTACTTGAGATTGTGGCAGGTCTCACCAAGGGACCACTTTGATTCCAGCTATCAAACCTGTGTCCCCGTCTCCCCACTGCACAGCATGCTCCCAGGGGCTCCCTCTGCCTCCTCACACTGCACTTGCTTCTGCTTGAGAGCGGGGGCCTGGCTATACACCAGAAGAGGGAGGCTTGGGGAGTGAACACCTGACCAACCCAGGGGCAACATTCTGGGAGTGATGTCCTCATAGGAGATGAGCAGCTGTCCTCCAGTCATAGGAAGGCTGAATGGTGAATGGGTCTTCCCTGCCATGTCCAAAACTAGCAATAAGCAAAAATGCTAGAACGGGACACAGCTGCCTCAAGGGACAAGTCCCTGCTATCTGTCCACCCTCAGTCCTACCTGCTGCGATGGAAGACCACTTAGGGGGACCCACTGTAGTTGGAATATATAACAGTGAGTTGATAAAATCCCCTGTGGCGGTGGTCATTATGGGATAAATATAAACTGCCAGGGTGGGGCCCAGGACCAGGCTTGAGAGGAGAGCTAGAGCCTGGGTTATGTGCAACAAGGGCCAGGAAGGGAAAAGCACTTCCAAGGGAAGGTGGCTACAAGCCCAGGCTAGGGGTCTCAGGAACAACAATCCCTACGGCCTGACTCCTGGCTCTTGCGGGAGCAGATTTGCAAAAGGTTCCAATCCCATTTTAGCACATAGGTGGGCGTGACTGACTCATAGAGGGCTAGAAACATACCAAAAGGACTTACTCATTACCTGTAAATGGAGGATGGGGAGATTTGGAAATGGGAGTCCAGTGATGCCAGGAGGCACATGGCACGCTGGGAACCCAGGCAAGGCTGGGAGAGAAAATAGGCTACAGTACCCACCTCTGCTCCTCGCCCTCCAGCAGCCGCCTGTAGGTGGCGATCTCGATGTCCAGGCCCAGCTTGGAGTTCATCACCTCCTGGTACTCCTTGACCAGGCAAGCCATGTCCTGCTTGGCCTTCTGTAGGGCGCCCTCCAGCTCAGCCAGCTTGCAGCGGGCATCGCTCAGAGCCGCCTCGCCCTGCTGCTCAGCCTGGGTCACTGCGGCCTCCAGCTTAGAGTTCTGGGGGCCCAGAGGAGAACAAGGTATGTTATGGTCCTGGGTTTCTCTGTCCATTTCCTGGGTGTGTCCAGTCTCTTCCCTCCCCCAGCTGGAAACACCCCAAGAACAGACCTCTCCCCTTCATCAGCTGAGTCTCCTCCAAGGGACCATAGCTAAGGACTCTAGTCATGCAGATGGGCTAGAGCATGAATGGTGAGATCCACTGAGGACACACACTGCCTGTGTGACCCTGGGGAGGCCCCAGGCAACACTTACCTGGCACTTGGCATTCTCAACCTCGGCCGTCAGCCTCTGGATCATGCGGTTGAGCTCATTGATCTCCTCCTTGGTGCGGCGCAGGGTCTCCCCATGCCGGATCACCGTGGCCTTCATCTCCTCACACTGGGGGGAAGCAGACATGCCCCTGAGGCTCAAGATGCAGTGTCCCACCCACTCAGACACCACAGATGATTGGTAAGTTGTACAGTGCTCAGCCTGTGCAACCATACGTGGCAGCCTTGCCCA